AAAAGAATGACTCAATATTCGTCCATAAATGTTGAATATAAAACTTTAGTTAATGCTGTTGCAGAAATAATTTTGTTTCAGTCTACCCTTTCTAAGTTGCAGGTTCCACAAGCGAACTCACTTTTATTGTGGTGTGATAGTTTGGAAGCTACTTACATAGATGTCAATCAAGTGTTTCATACTCGAACAAAACACATGAAATTGATTTTTATTTTATGGCGAATCAGGTTTCAAAAAAAGGAGTTGATTGTGCATTTTATTCACACGATGATCAAATTGCGGATGTTCTTCCTAACCCTTTCTCAATAGCCCATTTTGTGTTCATTAAAATCAAGTTGAATGTGCTATCTTCCCTTCAATCAATTGGGCTATTAAAGGTATTAAAGTTAATAGAGTTTGACAGTATTACAGAAACCGAGGACTTTAGGAATTCAGTAGCAATAACAAACAAGTTACAATAATACGGTCTAACAATAAAAAAAAATTACATTGGTTTAGCTAACATAAAGATTTTATTTTTATTATTTATAGATAACTAACTCTAATTATTTCTTAATGATATTAGCTAGGTTTGGGCTGGTTTGCCTTAAAAAACAATTTAGTAATCGAACAAAAATTAAGCATCTTCTGATAATGGTTTAGCCGAGGTAATCATAGATTTAATCTCGATTTATGCAAAACAATAATCCGAGAATACTCTTAAATCTTGTTATAAAATATATATATATATATATATATATATATATATATATATATATTATAACGTGTGTTTTACAAATTAGTCTACTTTCTATATAACTCATATATTAGTGAAGTTCATATATAATGTTTATCTTGTATAGGAGATACTTGGAAGAATATACGATTGTATCAGTGATAAATTATAAATATAATAGTGATTGCACACTCTGTCTCTTGAGATGTCAGATACAATTTTCGTGTTCACTTAAATCCAATATTGTCAGATACAAAAATGTCAAGTAAAGAAAGGAATGTAATTGAGTTAACATTTTCACTATTTTTTCCCCCTAGACACGAACAAAATGGCCTCAATTTGTCTTCGTAAATGAATTGCGTAAAGCCCCAAAATCCAATATTGTCTAATAAGCACCGACTAATCAGCTGGCTGTTTGATTTAGGACAAGAAAGGACCAATCTAGCTAGAGTTGGTCTTCTTTTTAAAAAGAAGAGATTTCGATCTGATTAATCAAATATAAGTTTTTTCATATATGATCATATCTCAAGATCGATTAGGATCCAAATGTGAAACTTTGAAGCAAATAATTCATCATTTCAGCCTTGAAAACTATTGTTTAAAGCTGTATATTTCAACCATGTAGACTGTGTTCTTGGCTCTACACTCCCCCCATATCGCCATCCACCACCAAGAATGGCAAACACACATTATATTGTCTTTGAATAATTTTTTTTGGCTTATATTCCTTTTCCACCACCTGGAATATTATTGCTCTTAACTGGTTCAAGTATATAATCACCACTTAATTAAAAGTTATATGTTTTAAAAAAAAAACACTGCTTAAGAAGAATATCTTTTAGAGGTTATATGCGTGTGTGTTTTCTTAGTCAAACCTCGATCCTATTCAATATTCGAATTTTTTCCAACTTCGATTTAAAATTTGACAAGCCCCTAGTGTATTTTTGGTTAGATAGAGTTACAAAGATGAAGACAAACAACCTTTTTCTCCAAATCTTCCCATATAAGGACCTAAAGCAAGCAAGCAAGCAAAGCAAAAACATGACAATCTAATGTCATTTAGTAATTAGCATGGATCATCATTTCAATAACATATAGCTAACCAATCCAGTAATCTATGTTTTAGGTATCACAAAAGGCAAACACCAGATGTGGCCATGTCCCACTTTCCCGTGATTGGCTCGATCCTAAGGTGTTGGCCCAGCACCATGATTGGCTTGTGGCACATACGTGTGGCTAGCTCTCATACGAAATGATACATAATTTTCTCTCAAGTAAACATGATCTACATGGATGACAAAAGGTAGGTTGGCAAAATGATGCGAGAGATTTTTAGGGTTTGTCGGCAATGGTTGATCGATGCTTTGCATTGTTGAAATGCATCGATTCAGCTAAGAAAATTTTGTACATGGAGACAGACATGGTGGCAATTTATGTTTGGGCCCTTAAAAGGTCCTTTTGGGACAATTTTCTCAAAATATTAATGTTTTAGTCCTATATAACTTGTCGAATATACTATGTTTTAAAAAAAAAAAAAATTATTAGTAGTTAGCAAAGAATTGAAGACCGAAAAATGTGTCCTTGAGATATATATATATATATATATATATATAGAAAAAAACTCGGAAATCTTTTGTTAGGTAGCTAATGGACTTGCTTACATATATAGCTAGGTTCTCAAATATGAATAGCTAGGTGGAGTTGTTGGAGATTTGATAAGTTTCATCAGGACTAAACTTTCTTAATTTGTCAACAGAGAAAAGCAGATAAGATAAGAAAATGGTGGGTTGAGATTTTGGTCCTTTTGTTTAATTCAAATCAAATTTTCAATGAGTGCTCTCGGACATTTTCACTTTCTTTTTATTAAAAAAAAAATTTTTGTTCATATAAATTAATTAAGTTGACTACTCCCATCCATACCGTACGTGAATATATATAAATAAAAATAATTGGAAATCTTTAATTTAAATATTTAGATCTTACGCCAATATATATATATATATAGAAGACACGGGCCGGAATGGTTTGAGGGGTGACCTAAATGAGATATTCCAAATAAGTTATGCAAGTCAGAGAGAAATTGCATGACAGACAACACAGATCATCAGATAGGAGCAGAACTTCAAGAAAGATGAAACATTCCTTAAATGCATAATCTCTACCATAGATTTTGGCACGAGAAGCTACCCGTCTTTTAGCTTTTGAATGATGGAAAATCCCCTTTTGTATCCAACAAGCATTTATGGCTAGTAAAAGGGCCTTCCAATCAAACCTTTATTGCTTTACACTTTATTTGAGCATGCCATGAATGAGAGAATGAACCCAAAGGGGGCAAGATCACATGTGAAACTAAAACAGAAGTGCTTCGCTATCTTGCTGCAATTTGATGAGAAGTGTAAGCAGATTAGGGAACCAATGGGTCCCTGGTGCACAGCCAGTTCACAACTCCATTGTTGGGGAGTCAACCTCAATGCTCTCTTTCAGTCCATCAATCCTCCAACAATGGCTATCATTTTCTCAAAGTGATGGATTGAAAAAATTGGCCGTGGAGACCAAAAGGAAAAGTGAATGACACGGTCTTGTACAAGAAAAAGCACTTTTGTCTGAAATCCTCAGCCCTTTTCTTCACGAGATAAAAATTCAGTATATGTATTTCTAAATATTGCATGCAATGCAATTATCACAGGATTTTCATTTACTAGCTGCACACGTGTGAATACTTCATGCATGCACATCAATTTTGTTGGGGAAGCCATAAGTTTGAATTCAAATGCTTAAGTTAAAAGTAAAATGATGGTAAGCAGTAGCTCAACCCATCTCTCCATGGATTTGGAATTTGATCCTCTTTCAGTGAATTTTACACAAATCATTCACTGCTACTGTTCATGTTATACAAATCAGCCACAGCTACCAAAACGATCATTGACCAATATCACCCTAGATAGTGGGTCGGTTTGGTTTGGTGGTGCTTTGAGAAAGTAAATACCTTAAACTGTGCTTTATCTACATATATATATTCGGAACTTAAAAATTAGAGATTAAGTTTTAATGGAAGGCTTGAGGTGGATGGAAATTCGAAAATTTTAAAAGGGTTAATGTTATATTTTCTGTTGATGAACCCGAAAAAAATATAATAATAATTTTAACAATTTCTCCTTAATTTCTTGGAACTAAATTCTGAACTGTTTGTTGTTTGTTAATTAATTACAATTTTCCTTTGTGGCTAACGAGATCACCTCATTAATTTCAAATCTGAATTCTATGAAGGCACAAATAAACTAGATTAACACACAACTTTTTAATCCAAGTACTAATTAATCATTGGCGAGATGTAAAAGAAAAACGAAAAAAGAAAATCATTGGCAAGAAACCTAGATTAAACGCAACTTTTTAATCTAAGTACTTAGGACTATAAATACCTTCATATAAATCCTGTTGTGGTTCACAATGTTTACCATCATTTTTTTACTCACAATTTTCCTAGCATCAAGCAACATGAACAATATCTTGTCCCTTAACACGGGAATTAAGGTACAATATTAATGTCCGATCAAGACATAATTAATTTCTTAACAAAAAAGTCATATATGATAGGCTAATTGTGGATGTGTCAGATCCAACTAACCATGCAATGAACTATATTAAAGCAAAACATACAGTACTTCAAAATCAATTTTTACCACTCGAGTGAATTTTCACTCTATATGATGTGATAAATGTCCTTAAATATAATATGAGAAATGAATTGAAATTTAAAAAAAAAAATGGCAAATGATTTCTGCAGAAAATGGTCAGCTTTCACAGGCCTGCTGCAGAAAAATAGAAAGCATCCAGCAGCAAGACAGACAGTAATGAGAGTAGAAATAAAAACTAAAAGACACAAAAATTAAATAATGATGCATTTTGACAAGCACTATGTTTCACCGTTAATTATGAGGAAGGAGAAAGGGACAAAATAATATTTCTACATATTTACAATTACAAAGCTAGCTGCTTAAAAACATCTGCGACTCCATTGACCACATTGGTGCGCTGTCGATCTGATCAACCAATTATTTTAATGACGGAGTACCATAGATTTCTAACATCGTGACATATGTCAAGTATTGATTTGTCATGACCACCAACTTGAAATAATCCTTCTTTGATCACCAAAAAATTCCTACTTGCATTTTTTTATTTATTTTTTTTTTAAGTCTTCTTTTTTCTATATATATACAGCTAGTTTGTGGTCTCAAGGCTAAACTGCTTCTCTTGCTGTCCAAGATTCGAAGGCACCAGCCCCATGAAGGAAACATGGAGATACCTAGCCGGCATAGCAGGCTCAAGTGGTTATGGTTCAAATTCAACTGCTGAACACGTTATTCAAGATTCTGCTTGCTTAGTCCCTCCCCATTTAACTGCCATCGTCACTGGTTAGTTTCCAAATTTTGTCTTTAACCAGCAGGATATATACATACATACAACTTTGTACCGATGGAAATTACATTTCATCTTCTCAGTGCCACCTTTTCTTCTGATTAGAGCATGGATGAAAAAGGCTTGTTCCCTTTTCTTTTTCATTTTGTTGGTGGAAGTTTGAGCCTTTGAGATTGAGAGTTTTTCTTTCTTTCTTCGTCTTCCTCTACTCTTTCCTTTCCTTCTTCTCCTACACCTTCTTAATTTCTTTGCTTTTTTCTTTTTCCTCTTTTCTCTCTCCTTCAGTGAGCATTCAAGTGTTTTTAGTTATGGATTACGAGGGTCAGATAACACAGGGGCTTAACCTTCAATACCTTTCTCTCACGTTCTCTGCTTCCAAATTAAGATTGATCAAAAATGATTCACTACTATATACTTCGTTCAGTCCACGTCCTAGCTACGTACCATTTCATTTTCTTTTTCCCCTTCGATATACTGATCTCTTCCAGATTTCCCTATAGTTTCTGGCATTGATTTTTCAGATATGTTTGTGTGTGTGCTGAAGAAAATGAGCGTTCTAAGGAGAAGACCACAAAGTTTTTGTATTATCTCCCTACAATCACTATATATGACGGAGGTTACTAAATCAGTGGCTCTTTTTGGCTGTTGCAAGATATGGTTTTGTCTCTATTGAATAATATATTTATTTATTTTGTATATTCTCTGATTGGTTCATACTTCATCACAGTTTTTCTCAACCAAGAATCACGACTTTGTTTTATATACTACATTATACATACAATATCGTTTTCCACCTGCTTGTTTTTTTATTTAATTTCTCTACTCTTATTCAAAAAGTGTATCCATATATATTCTCTTCCACTTAATATTTATTCCCAACTTGTACAAAACAAAAATTGTATATTCTCAATCAAATAAACAATTGATGTTAATTAGATTTCTCAGGAAACAAATACATAAGTTAATAATTGGTCGTACAAAAACTATACTAAAAAAGAAAGAAAAAATAATAAATTAAGCTCCCATAAAAATAAAAATAAAAATAATGTGTTTTTGATTATTATTATTATTATTTTGAAAGGGGCAACATCAGGTATTGGAGTTGAGACTGCAAGAGCACTAGGTAGGAAAGGTGTGAGAATAGTGATTCCAGCAAGGGACTTGAAAAAGGCAGCTGAAGTGAAGGAAAGGATACAAAAAGAGAGTCCAAATGCAGAGATAATAATATTTGAGACTGATATGAGTTCGTTTGTTTCTGTAAAGAGATTTTGTTCTGCTTTTCTTGATCTACGACTACCCCTTAACATCCTCATGTGAGTATATATATATATATTAATTTCTTACTTTTAATTTCACCATGTTCATCATCTAATTCACTTTAATGCGGGAAAATAGTTATTAAAAAATTAATCACTTTAATTGCAGAAATAATGCTGGGATATACTCTCATAAATTGGAGTTCTCTGAAGACAAAATTGAGATGACATTCGCTACAAATTACTTAGGTAAACTTTAATTCTCTTATTGGTTCTTTTATTTTTTTGTTTTCCTTTTATTTTATCATAATGATGCCGATATCTTTCTTCTTCTTCTTCTTCTTTTTTTAAAAAAAAAATATTTATATCAAAACTTATATGACAATCTCAAGTATTGTGGAGAAAATCATGACAATAAAAAAATAAGGGGAAATCATGATTGCTTTGGTATAATGAAAAAGAAGAAAAGACACCTCTAATATTATGTTTAACTTTATGGTTGTGATAATAGCTTATCACTAATTAATAAATTAATAGTGATTAATCAAAAAAGATAAAGTGGATTTAGCAACCTTGATTGCTGGTCTAATTAGAGTGATTGAAATTTGAAATGCTTGCTTGGTGGGATTATTAGTTATTAAGATGAAGATGTAGACAATGGGCCTAAATTAGGGATGACACTATTGTTTCTTTTAAGATTATAAGCCCTTACACTGTTCCAGTCTTTTAGCATTTTTTTAATTTGGGGCTCAATTTCTATCTCGTGGGTCACTTAAATTGATAGATTTTTTTTTCTTTTTCCTCAAACTTTAATGGATAGATTGAAAAATTAAGGAACCGAACTCCAAATACTTAGTTTGATGGTTAAAAAAATTTACTCTTTTCCTTGACTTTTGAGCTGGAATACTAGAGTTAGTTTTCCAGATAAATTTATTTCCAAATCTATGTAAAAGGTATATTTAGTTATACGAATAAATAATTTAATCTCTGTCAATTGGCAAATTAGTTTGAAAATACCCTTTATCTTGACGTACATGACATCCTTAAAATAAAATAAAATCTAAATTTTGATAGACACATAAGTTGTGCTAAAAATATCCATACAGGCAAATAAAAAGAAAATTATAAGGAAGCATTCGGGAAAAAAAAAAAGAAAAAATGATAGCTGTGAGGAAGAAATCAAGTTTTTTTTTTTAATCAAGAAGTAAACCCTTGAGGCCTTTTGCAGGACATTATTTGATGACGGAGTTGCTATTAGAGAAAATGATAGAAACAGCAGAGCAGACAGGCATCCAAGGAAGAATAATAAATCTTTCCTCCGTAATTCACAGCTGGGTGAAGAGAGATGCTTTTTGCTTCAAGAAAATGCTAAACCCAAAGAAGTACGATCCTTCCCCTTTTCTTGGTTTCAGTACATTACAAACTATGCAACATTTCCAAAGTCAGGGATAAGAACTTGGGCTAAATTACATCATTTGAAATCATGATGATTAGACTAAAAAATGGTAATAATTAATGATAGCACAATAACAACCACCAAGAATCTAACAAACATCATGTTAACAGTCATTAACAACAACTTGAAGCAAAAATCCACATGGAGTAATCATGATTATGGAAGAAATTATTGTTTTGTAGGAAAGAATTAAGGTGGTTGATATTTTGTTTTCATATTTTGCAGTTATGATGGTACACGTGCATATGCTCAATCCAAATTGGCTAATATATTGCATGTGAAAGAAATAGCCAGACAGCTCAAGGTAAAGATCACCCATCATCTACGTACCCCTTCAATTTTCTCTCCTTTTTTTTTATTTTTTTGAAAGAATCAAAGTAAAAAATAAAAAAATAAAATCATTTTTTGCAGGCAAGGAATGCAAGAGTAACAATCAATGCAGTACACCCAGGCATTGTAAAGACTGGAATATTGAGAGCTAGTTATAAGGGCTTCATCACAGGTAGCTAGCTTGATTTTTTTTTCTCTTAAAATCTTCTCATAAAAGAAATAAACAATCTAATAAGTACAGAAATTTTACCTGCAGATTCCCTTTACTTCATTGCGTCCAAGTTACTAAAATCAACATCACAGGTATGTCTACGTACACTTCCTTGTCATTTCCCCTGCCAAAAAGACTCAGACAAGGGGAAAAAAAATGAAATTAGCTGAGCAAATGTGTGTTGATGGTATGCAGGGTGCATCAACCACATGTTATGTTGCTTTGAGTCCAAAAACAGAAGGTGTGAGTGGCAAATATTTTGCAGACTGCAATGAAAGTAACTGCTCAGCTCTAGCAAATGATGAATCTGAGGCTCAGAAACTTTGGAGGCAGACCCATGCACTGATGCAAAGATATCTGTATCTACCACCACCATAGCTTTAGCATGTTTCTTCTATGTGACTGAGGGTACATATTTAGGATACATGTATATTTTACAAGTTGTAAGCTCTATCTAATTATGTACATATATACTTAATAAAGGGATTTATAAGAGGAGTACGGGCTAATTAAATAAATAAATAAGAGATTAATAATTCAAAGTTCCGTTTAGGATAAAGGGATAGTATAAGGGTACAACCCTGTAAACTAGAGGAGAGGATCTAAGATTTAATTAGTTCCATTTCTGATGTTACTAAAGGAGATTACTTCCTTCTCACAATTAAGTTTACAAATGGACTAGTTTGAATGTTTCTATTTTATAGAAAACAAAGAAATGTGAGAGAAAGGAACCAAGGAAGAGCATCATACCTAGCGTACTGAATAATTTATTATATTAAGCAAAGTTTTTATCTTTTTTTTTTTTTTCAATTACTAAAAGATTGAAAGAGGAGGGAAAAAGTTACAAGTTATAACTCGGTCTCTAACCCGGGCAGATCAGATGGGGAGAAAAGACTCGAGTCCAGCACCCCCTCTTGTATATGTGTGGCTGTTTGGGGAAGGAGAGCAAGGGATCAATCATAACTATGACAACTCAGTTCAGGGAAAACATAAAATATCAGCACATCACGATAAATTAAATGATATCGAATACTAAATACATTGTGCTTCCATTTCCAAAAAGTAAGAAATCTATAGATTAGATATCAACAAAAGGGGCATAATCATGCTTGGACCTTTACATTGATTCCTCCATCATCAATTCAGACTGCCAGAAAGTACACCAAAAATACACTAATGCAGCTAACTTGGTCTCCTTGTTTAGGTCATCGTGTCTGATGAGTAGTAATTGTTCTGCTGGAGAGACACCCACCCTCTTCATTTGCTTTCAGTTAATTTTCCAATATTAACTATCAAGCAAGAAAGCAACCTCCTAGTCACAAACAATGACTAGCTGCACACAAGCAAGTTCAAAGCACGCATAATGCACACACAAAAACTGCCTCCATCTCTTCATTTCTTAGCCTGCCATATATTTCAGATTAAGCAAATCCACATCAGTGAAAGTTGTATGGCAAAAATATCAAATAACTCAATGTGAATTGTAACAAATGCATAGTGAGCAAGAAAACTTCTATTTCAGGATGAAAAGGAGAGAGAATGCCTTCACAAGACCCAAGATAAGAATGTCAGAATTACACAATTTCCCCACAGAATCTATAGGCTTTGCTTGGCAATCCCAGATTGAAGAAAGTTCAAGGAATGATAGCGACAAACTAGACATGCAAGAAGGAATAATGGCTACCAAAATCCAGCTTTGTTGTTTACATCAGTTTATAGCCTTTTTTATTATTCCAATTGCCATGCTCCACTAACTGCCTAGAGCTAAATTGCAAGAAAAAACAATTATGAACATTTTCCAGATGGTATTCAGAGGTGAAAAAAATATAGAACTTCCGACGAATCAAAATGACATTACCTTAAAACGCGGGGATCGGCGAACAGGAGACATGATTGCTTGTCTCCCTCCTTTTCCACGCCTACCTTTCTTGGAATTTCTTTCGGGTTCATCTGGAGTTTGGCTTGTCTTTGTTGGTGACTCACTTGTGTCACCAGAAATTGAAAAAACTGGAGCAGACACAGATATTGTTGTCTCTTGATGAAGAGTTGAGGACTGAGGCAAGAATCCTGAGATTGAACGTACAATAGTTTAGTTCAGAAGTACTGAAATTGCAGTTAAACAGCACAGATAAAAGCCTATTCATCTCACTCCAGATTTTAGCATGTCGCATTCAAGTCGCGTCTGGAGCCAACACTTATGTTACCTAATAATCAAACCAATACATGGAAGATATTGCACAAAAGAAAAAGCAAGTGCCCATTATTCAGAAAGTATCCCAAGTACGCAGGGTAAAGGAACACAGAAAGTAAACCTCTACCTAGTGATGCAGCTTCTTGAAACTTCTCTCTCATTTTTCTGACAAATTTGAACAAGCCATTGGTTTCATTCAACTTGTGGATCAACTGTTTCGTGTCATTCAATTGTGGTTCACAAGCCAACACTGCAAATTAGGCACAAAAGAAACTCCAAATATAATAAGAATATATTCAAAAAACAGATGATGGAAAAGTTTAGCCCACATCAAAATTAGAATGGACAAAGACTCAGATGAGTTGAGATTTGAAATTAATTTATAATCCAAATGCATCCATACTTACACGTGTACATATCATTTTCATGGCGAATGGTGAAAGTGTACTCCTCATGTGGATTTTTCAAATTGATGTTATTGAATGTGAATTTTACCCCTAAATATAAGAATTTGTAAGTATGGAATTTACATAAAGGAATAAAAGAAAATGAGTATTCCAAAATGCAATGGCTATGATACCTCGGCCGCCTTCAATTTTGAAGCCAAGAAACTTATTGTACCATAACATTGCCTCTTGAATTTCCCTTTTATGATCGATATCTTGGTGTTTTGTTTCTTCAGATGTTGCCAAAGCTGTAAACAATGCCAAAAAGAGAGGCAGAAAGAAGAGACCAATAAGTAAAATTCAAATATGGTTTCACATGCAACTGACCAGGAAACAAACATAAGAAATATCAAAGCATACAAGAGCAAACTCAAAATTCATCAACAATACGAATTAAGACAGTGATTTCTCTTCCAATCAAATATAAGCCATAGTTATATTTTCAGTCCACATATTACATTCAAACTAAACACCAAAAGTTGAATTATACAGTGCAGATGCCATCATAATGGAGGTTTGCATTAGTTCCCATAGTGCCCTAACATGTCAGGAAAATGTGAATACACATCCTACAAATCTCAACCTTTCCAACCCAGTTGGAACCATAATCTAACCCCAGTGATGTTCAGAACCACGATATAATCATCAATTTCACAGGCATAACCCTTCTGACAGAAATCTCTTCTTAATCAAGTTAATTAACAAAACAATAATTGAAGGAAAATGCACTATTCAAGTTTTCACAAGTGTAAGTAAGGCAATGGAGTCAGGATCTGAACAATTAACAAATCAGCTAATAACAGGAAATAATATTACCAAGATGGGACATGATTGTTGCATACTCTTCCCTCCTAGCCCTTTGAACTTGAACACTTTTTTGAAGTTCTTGTATTCTAGCTCTTGTAGCAGATATTGACTCCCTTGTTGCCATCTGCTTAGCCTCTTTCCGAGTCTTAACTATAAGACAACACAAATTAAAAAAAAAAATCTCATCTGAAAGGAAATGGACATCGGTTTTGAAGCATTTTATCTCAAGAAAACAGAAATAAAAATGGAAGCAGAGAGTGAATTTATTAGGAGAAGAAAACACAAAATTGCCCTAATCATTCTTCTCTCGCTTCCAACATTCTTATTAAGACACCAAGAGTCTCAATATAAATGCAATTCTTTGCTCCTCTTTCAAATTCTTATAAATTCTTATAAGCAATAACATTTCTTTACTCTTCCAAATAGCATATCTTTGTTTCTCCTAAACATCCTGTGCCACTAGTTCATCATTTCTTTAGTTATAGGTTTCCAAAATAGCATGGTAATTCATCAACTCAAGCATACAAATGGTAAATTAAACTAAACATAGATGATTGGTGTAAGTTAAATTGCAACTTCACAGAACGAGGAATAAGTTATTTCTTTGTTATTTTAAGCTTGTAGAAGCAAATTAAATTAATCGAAAGAAAAGTTATATACTGATTAATAGTAACTCAAATACATAAATTCTCTACAAGAGAATCAATTTGTTTTGTCTTCCATAACAGGCTAATGCTAACAACAATAAATTCATCTAGAAAAACACACTAGCAATAACTGCTAACAAACAATACGGTCCTCCCAAAACATAAAGTTTCCATGGAAAAGGGCGATGATGATCACATGTTTCAAAGCATTCAATATTTGATTGTTTAGTCACAAACTTAAATCATAGTAGAGCATTTACCAGTGGTCAGTCAGTGAATCACTAGCAATGCACATTCACCATCAATTAATGAATTATTAGCATTTAAAATGCCAGAAAACACCTAAATTCAGATTTCAATTCCAAATTATGAACCAGCCTAAGTTAAAAATGTTAAAACACAAAAACTGCCGGCATAAATTCACTGAAAATCCTCCAAATGCAGGTGTGAGAGAGAGAGAGAGAGAGAGAGACAAACCTGCCAGAACTTTAACAAATTCATCATCAGCTTCTCTCAAGCTAGATTTCAACTTCCCTAATTTCCCTGCGAAAAAGAAAAAAAACACACACACACAATTTTCAAAACTCCAACCGCCCTAATTTCATCCCCCAGTAAAACAGCTAACTTACCAAACTAACTACACAAAAAAACCCTAACTTCTTTTCAAGTAACTTGGACAAAAGTGAAAATGCATGCCGCTCTCTCTTTTCTGACCTTGGTTTTGCACCGCTTCTTCTGCTCTGGCCTTGATTGAATCAAGAGAGTTGCAAAACGACGCCGTGAAGGAGTCCATTTTGTGGAGTTGGATTTGGGCATCTCTGTCGCAGATCGACCGCAGGGACTCCATTTTTCCGTACAGTTTCCGTTGCTTCACTTTGCAGTCTCTCTGCTTTGAGAAAGAGAGAGAGCGAGAGATTTGAGTTTTTGATTTAAATGAAGCCTCCCGTTTTAGGCGGCCATTTTGATTTTGGAAATTTCACTTTCGTTTTTTATTTTTCCTTTATTCTTTTTTCGTTTCCCTTTTTACCCTTCCCGGACCGGGAGCGATTCCAATAATGAGTTTTGTGATGAAGGTTACCTCCCTCTTTGTAATAAATTTGGAATTAACATTCAAGAAAATATTTATCTTTCGAGTTGAGAATAAACGAAAGCATATGGTTGACGGGCGGGCAATGCAATAGTCCTAGCGTTTTCTGTTTAAAAAAGAGATATAGTTATGGTTAATGGGTTAGTTTTAGCTAATTGTTCATATTTGGAATTGTTGGAGGCCTTGAGTTCCTCCAATGAGCTCCCTCTTCTCTCTGTTTTGTCAGAATAGGGCCAGAGGCCCAAAGACTTTGCTCCTTTGGTCTGTCGGCTATTGGGCCTTGAAACCTTATATATATATATATATATATATATATATATATATATATAAACATGCAAGGCAAGCCACATTCCAATACATACGTATAATCATTAAACCAAATACTGTTTTTATATTTGCAGAACGTGGAAGAGAGCAAAACCAATACGATTAAACAATTCCCCTCATAGACATGAAAAATCCATCATGATCTACGTAATATTGAAAGACATATTGTCTCACAAAACGATAAAGAATATCAATCTATTAATTTAAACCAATGAAAGATGGGTGCAGTGATAAACATTTTGATAAGTTACCGTTGTTGTTGTTATTATTATTATTATTATTGACAAAACCAATAAAACAATTCATTCAATATAGGAATTAAAGAAATACAAATCGAGAGAGTTCAACCAATACAATGCTCACTAGAGTAAATTATAAATTATTCCCTCTAGTTTTACAATGCAAATAAAATAATCCTTTTAGTTTCAAAAACTAATTAATTAGTTATTTTCATTCAT